TGGTCCTGGGGCTGGGCAGCCCTTGGGGATGGGGATGTGTTTTGGGGGATGAGGGGGGATGCATTGCCTGAAAAACACGGTTTTCCTTGGGAAAAAGAGGGAGAGAGGGTGGATAAATTATTGCCTGTAGAGTTCACAGCTCGGCTGGAGGCGGCAGAGGGGCTGTGGGGCGGCTGCAGCTCATCCCAGCTCGGGGTGGTGGCACTTCACCTCGCTGGAAAAAATCACTCCAGGGTGAAACAAAAAGTCCCCAAATACCCCAGGACTGAAGGACAAACACCTGGGAGCTGGAATTCATCTGACACCCCCTGCTCCCCGATGCGAGGGGTGGGCTTGGGGCCGGACCCAGGGATCCTGAAGGAGCCTCATCCCACCTCCAGGAAAAAAAAAAAGGAGAACAACGGGGCTGGTGGAGCTGGGATGTTTCAGGAAACTTGTTTTTTGGATCCTTCTATTGAGGCTTTTCCTTCCCAGCTCGTTTTCCTTTGCTGTCCAACACACCTCCCACATTCCTCCCCCCCCCCCAAAAACATTCCCCTCTTGCCAACGTCCCTCTTCTGCCACCGGAGCTGAGGGATGGATTTAGCACCGAGACCCCCGTGGATGAAGGGGCTGCAGGGAGGCCCCCGGGTGAGAGGCTGGGGGGCACAGGGGCAGCCCTGGGGGGGGCACAGCGTTGCTGAAGGCACGATGTCGGCCTCGGGAGGGGCTCAGCCAGAGTCTACTCAGGCACTTTAAATGAAATAAAAAACCCAAACCGATGATTAAAAAAAAAAACAAAAAACAAACCAACCCAAAACATTCATTAGATTTGTTAAAACAGCCAGAAAGGGGCTGCACCAAAAGCAGCGTCGCTATTGCCGGGTTGGAGAGGCCCCCCCAGGAATGGGGGAGGGATGGAGGGGCTGCCAGGGGGGGTTTTGGGGTGCTGTGTGTCCTCCCCTGTCCCCAGATTTGGGGGGTCCAGGAAAGATGCTGCTGTCCAGATCCAGCTCCTCGAGGCTCCTCTTCATCCCAGACCAAGCTCCTTCAATGCTGTTTCATCCAGCTGAGGGGGGGCTGGAAAATTCCTTCTGTGAGCAAATCCCCTGTTTTTGGAGCCAGCCCGACCCCCAAATCCAGAGTTTCAGGAAATTGTCCCAACCCCACGGAGGCCGATGCTGCCCTCTGTGCCCTGCTGTCCCCAGAGCAGTGTTTGTCCCCTGCCCCTGGTCCCAGTTTGCTCCAAACCGGCTGGTTTTTGCCCCAGTCCTACTCCGGGCTCCCGGCACACCGGGAAGGGCCCCTCTGCTCCAAGGAGAGCCAGGCTGGGAGAAACAGAGGCAAAGAGTGTCCTGCGAGCGCTGCCACCTCCTGCGTGTCCCCGTGTCCCCATCCCGGGGTGCTGGAGCCCAGAGGGGTGGCACAGCTTGGGAGGGATCCCTCTGTGTCCACCCCCCAAATCCTGCTGGGAGTGGTTTGGGATGGGAGGCATCCAGGCTGGGACAGATGTGCAGCTCCTGGCTCCCTTCTGGGGTGTTGTGGGGGGCTCCCGGTGGTGTCTCCCCCTCTCCAGGGGTCGTGTCGTCGGGGGTGTGGTGGCTCCAGGGGGGTCCTGTCACCGCTGGCTCTGGGGCTGGATCCAGGGCAGAAGGAGGTTACCCGGACCTGGGAATGGAGAGGAGGAATCAGGAGAGAGACCCCCCCCCGTGTGTCCCCTCGTGGGGACAAGGAGTCACAGCCTGGGCACAGGGACCTGCTGGGCTGACTCGAGGTGGCTCTGAAAGGGACACTGCCCTCCTTTCACCCCCCAAAAAACGTCAGAGAGTGACAGAGGCCAGGCTGGGGAGGCCCAAGGGGTTGATGTTCCCCTCCCCCCCCGTGGTGACACAGTGTTTTTGGGGTTTATTCCTCTTTTCACTATTATTATTATTATTATTATTA